AGAGGTTTCATTCCTGATATCAAAAAAGTAGAACTGAAGCTAAAAGGCATTAAAATGTGACAAAGGATACTTTATAATGCTAAAGCCATAATTCATAATGAAGAAACAATACTTATGGATATCCATGTACCAAAAAGCACACCAATCACCTGTATAAGGATGGAGGTATTTAACTCCAAACAGAATCAAATATACTTAAACATCAAATGCAAAGAAAAATAGAAACACACTAACAGAGACTTTAATACACTCCTCTCAACATAAGATTGTGACAAAAATAAGTAAAGACACAGAAGTAAACATCATCAATGCAGTAGATACTATATAGATAGATACTATGGCTGTGCATATAGAACTTTATACCTTATTAATAGAGAATAATCTTCTCAAGCACACAAAGGAACATTCACAAAAATTTAATCATATATTAGGTCACAAAGAAAACATGATTAAGTCCCACAAGTGGAAATATTATAAACCACACTCTGAATGTAATAAAACTAGAAATAAAAAAAAAATGGGGCTCTTCTATCCGGAAACCTTTTTTTAAAAACCTTCTATTAAACACCTCTTAGGTAAAAGAAAAGATATAAAATGAAATTACCTAATTTCTAAAATAACAAAACACTACATATTAGAACATATGTTACACATTTAATGCAGTAATGAGCATAAAATCAGAACCTTAAACTTGTTTACCAATTAAAAATAAAGTACAGGGGGATCCCTGGGTGGCGCAGCGGTTTGGCGCCTGCCTTTGGCCCAGGGCGCGATCCTGGAGACCCGGGATCGAGTCCCACGTCAGGCTCCCGGTGCATGGACCCTGCTTCTCCCTCTGCCTGTGTCTCTGCCTCTCTCTCTCTCTCTCTCTCTCTCTGTGACTATCATAAATAAATAAATAAATAAATAAATAAATAAATAAATAAATAGATAAATAAATAAATAAAGTACAAAAATAAATATATTAAATTTCCAAATGAAAAAGGAAACATAGTATAAAAAGCAAAGTAAACAAAAAGCAAGTACAAAGAAGCACATAAAGATAAAAGTGAAAATTGTTAAGAAGAAATCAGAAAACAGTAGCTCTAACTAGTAAATCAAACGTCTGGTTCTTTGAAAATTTAATAATATAGAAAAACCACTAACTAACCTAATTTTTAAAAGGAGGACAGGGCAGTTGTTTAGCGCTGCCTTCAGCACAGGGCCTGATCCTGCAGACCCAGGATCGAGTCCCACGTCAGGCTCCCTGCATGGAGCCCACTTATCCCTCTGCCTGTGTCTCTGCCTCTCTCTCTCTCTCTCTCTCTCTGTCTCTCATGAATAAATAAACAAAATCTTTAAAAAAAAGGGGGGGGACAAAAAGAAATGAAGAGGGGGAGATAAACACTAAAGCAAGACATTTTTTAGAAGTATAGAGATTATTTGCACACTCTATGGAAACACACCTAAATTTTCCTAAGAAAAGCCTAAATTTTCCTAAGAAAATATAATTTACCAAAATTGACCTGAATAGAAACAGAAAGCTTAAATAATCCACTCTCCATAGAAGAAATAAAGTTATTATGACACTTCTCCACAAAAAAGCACCATGTTCAAATAGTTTCCCAGGGGAATTCTACAAACGTTTTGAGAAACAGATGGTCCCAATACTAGAAATTGTCTTAGAACTTAAACAATTAGAAAATCTTCCAGATGTTTCTCATGAAATCAAGTATAATATTGTTACCTCAACCTGATATTGTATATTAAAAGAACTATAGATAATATCATTTATGAATATTATTGAAAACATATTAAATAAAATATTAACAAACAACATCCAACACCACAATAATGAAAACAACACACAATGGCCAAGTGAAATTTATCTCAGGAATGCGAGAATAGTTCAATATTAGGAAATCCATAATCCAATGCACCATATTAATGATCTAAGCAGGAAACTCATGTGATTATCTCCACAGATGCTGAAAAGGTCAACACTCCTTCCTGATTTTAAAGAAACTCAAAATTGGAATTGACAGATATTTCCTTAGCACTCGATTAAAAAAACAAAAACCAAAAAGAAAAACCCCCAGTTCTGAAGCCAGCACTTTACTTAAGAGGAAACATTGCTCATTTTCACAGATCAGGAACACAAAGATGCCCACTATTTCCACTACTTTTTTTTCTTCATTATTTCCATTTTCATTTAATACCATCCTATAGCTACTACATTATACAAAAGAAACCAACTAGAGATATAAAATTTAGAAAATACATAGAACTATATCTATTAGCAGAAAACATGATGGAATACCTGGAAAACTCTAGAAAACCAATATGCTAACACCAAATCAACCAAGATTCAGTAAGGTAGCAGAATATTCAGATAACACAATGAAATCAATTGACTTCATAAACACAACTAGTTAGGTGTAATGGAAGAGAAGATCTCATTTAAAAGAATAACCCCCCAAAAAACCCACATTAAATACTTAGGAATAAACCTAACAAGAAATGAGCAAAAGCCATATAAGAAAAACATTAAAACACTCTGCAAAAACAAAAATGTAGACTCCAACAAACAGAAAAACATTATTCTGGATAATAAAACCCAATATAATAAGATGTCAGTTCTGTCTAGTTTAATTTATTAATAAAACAAAAATACCAATAAGCCTTTTTTATGAAGCTAGATATGTTGACATTAAAGTTCAGGTGGAAAATAAACACGTAAAAATCATTACGAAAACTGAAATTAAAAAACAGCTATGAGGCAAGTCTATTCAAACACCACAAACTCTCTAAGTGAAACTGTGGTACTGGAGCATAACTCAACAGACAAGGTCAGTGGACTAGAATAGCAAATACAGAAATAGATCCAAGTATACATGGTAACTTATGAACACACAAGCAGAATCTCAAATCAGCGGGGCAAGGACAATCTTTTTAATAAATAGCGTTGGGCAATTGGATAGCCATTTAGAAGAATATAAAAACTGGATTCCTATCTCATACCAAATAATAAGCTTTACCAAATATCAAAATAAACTCTACATGGATCAGAGAACTATATGTAAAAAATAAACTACAACACATATCAAAGAAAACAAGAGTGAATTCCTCTAAAACCAGTTTTAGGAAAGAATTTCAGAATATGATTCAAGATCCACATGCAAAAAGATGAACAATAAATTCAGATACACACACACACATACACATATATACACACACATATGTACATTTTAACCCCGAAATCCCACTTCCGGCAATTTACTCTTAATGTAAATATCTAATAATATAAAAATACATATGTACAGGCTATCCACTGAAGCATCTTTATAATTGAAAAATATTATAAACCACATAAAGGCTCAAGAACCTTTATGGGAATTGGAAAAGCATAGGCAGAGAAGAATGAAACTGGACCCCTATCTTATACCATTCAAAAAAATTGACTGGAAATGTGTTAAAGACTTAACCATAAGACTTGACATGGTCAAAACTCCTAGAAAAAAAAAACAGGGGAAAAGCTTCTTCACATTGGTTCACAACACATTTTAGATCTGACACCAAAAGCACAAACAATAAAAGCAAAAATAAATAAGTAGAACTACTCAAACTAAAAGCTTTGCACAGCAAAAGAAATGGTCAACAAAAATGAAAAGGCAACCTACAGAAATGGGAGAAAATATTTGCAAATCATATATCTGATAAGGTTAATAACCAAAATATATAAACAACTCATATAACTCAATGGCAAGATAAAAAAAATAATCTGATAAAAAAAAGTGGGGGGATTGGGGAGAGGTGGGCAGAGGAAGTGAAGAGACATTTTTCCAAAGAAGACATACAAGTAGCCAAAGGGTACATGAAAAGTCACTTAATATCACTAATCAAGGGAACTTGGGTGGCTCAGCAGGTCATGATCCCAGGGTCCTGAGATAGAGCTCTGCATCAGGCTCCCTCCTCAGCAGGGAGTCTGCTTCTCCCTCTCCCTCTGCCCCTCCCCCTTCCCATTGTCTGTCTCTCTATCTCAAATAAATAATAATAAAATCTTTAAAAAAAATCACTAATCATCAGGGAAATACAAATCAAAGCCATAATGAGATATCACCTCATAGAATGGCGGTCATCAAAAAAGTGGGAATGTGTTGGTGAGAATGTGGAGAAAAGGGAACCCTTGCACAATTGTTGGTGGCAACGTAAATTGGTATAGCCACTACGGAAAACAGCATGGAGATTCCTCAAAAAATTAATATAACTATCATATGACCCAACAACTTCACTTCTGGGTATATAACCAAAGGAAATGAAAATAGGACCTCAAAGAGATACTTGCACTCCCATGTTCATTGCAAGATTATTCACAATAACCAACATATGGGAATAACCTAAGTATCTGTCAAAAGATAAATGGATAAAGATATAGTGTGTGTGTATAAATACATACATAATAGAATGTTATTTGGCCATGAGAAAGAAGGAAATCTTGTCATTTGTGACAACATAGATGCACCTTGATGGCATTATGCTAAGTAAAATAAGTCAGAGAAAAACAATACTGTATGACATCACTTAAGTATGGAATCTATAAAAGCTAAACTTGTAGAAACAGAGAATAGAGTGGTGGTTACTAGGGTCTGTAGGGTGGGGAAATGGGGAAATAGTATAAGCACAAGGGTACAAACCTCCAGGTATAAGGTGAATAACTTCATGCTGTACTTCATATACAGCATGGTGATTACAGCTAATAACATTTTATTATATACTTGAAACCTAAGTGAGTAGATCATAAATGTTATCACCGCAAAAAAAGAAATGGTAATTAGGTGATGTGATGGAGGTATTAGCTAATGCCATGATGGTAATCATATAAGTGTATCAAATCAACACATTGTACACCTTAAACTTACACAATATTGTATGTCGATTATGTCTCAATAAAGCTGGGAAGCAAAAGAAATGGCCTTGGAAAAAAGGGAAGCACTTTGGATATTTATGACATACATACATACCTGTCTACATTCATATTTGACTGAGAGTTTAGAGAGTTATCTGCTTCATTCTCACTTTCTTCTGACTGGCTATTAACAGTTCCTCCTTCATCATCATCTACTTCATTAAGAGCCTATCTCAACATAACAATAAAAATAAAAACACATGTTGGTTATATGTACATTCATCCTTTGTTTCTTTTTGTCATTATAACAGGAAGGTCCCTCCTAAGGCTAACATCCGCACAGGTGCTCTAGGACCTAAACCCTTTTACCTCCTTCTACTCTAGCAAGGGCCCCTTCTCTCTCCTGCATCTTCAACCTCTCTGTACTGGCTTTGACTCATCCACATTTAAATGTGAACCAATCTCTCATCTTATCCTCTCTTTCATCACCATACTACTTGAAAGAGTCATTCCCCACTTCTCATTTACTACCTATGTCCTCCAACTTTGCCTCTGCCCTACCATTCCACTCAAAGTGCTGTCTACAAGGTCAACATTCTTTTTTGATTTTTCTTAAATCAAACAGGTATTTTTCAGTCTCTGCCTTCCTTTATCTCTGATTCATTGGACATTAATGACCACTCCTTTCTTTTCTTCAAGATCTTCTTGATACATTCTTCCTTTTAACTGCCAAGTTACCATATTTCCCTGGTTTTTCTTCTATCCTTCTGACGCTTCTTTTCCAATCTCCTTTATTTGTTCTTTTCTTTCTACTCTTTTTTTTTCAAAAAAAAAATATTTTATTTATTCATGAGACACACACACAGAGAGAGAGAGAGAGGCAGAGACACAGGCAGAGGGAGAAGCAAGCTCCACGCAGGGATCCTGACGTGGGACTTGATCCTGGGTCCCCAGGATCACACCCTGGGCTAAAGGCGGCGTAAAACCACTGGGCCCCTGGGGCTGCCCTCTACCCTTTCTTAATATCTGATGGGACTCAAGGTCCTCCCTTTGGACCTTTTCTCCTCTCATCTGACTCCCTTTCTGAATGATTGTATCTAGTTCCAAAGCTGCTATTACAAGTCAAATGCTGTGAATTCCCAAATTTCTATCTTCACCCAGATCTCTCAGGAGTCCTAGACAATTATATCCAAATGCCTAAAAGATATTCCTAGTAGTCATCCTATACATATAAACTCACATGTCCAAAACTGGTCATGTTTCCAAGCTTCTCCTATCATTCACCCGTCTTATCGCTCTCAAACCCATTTTCCACTCTACAGTTGATTTCATCATGACTCTTCCTAAAATCTTCTGGTGGTTCTCTTCTCACTTTCTGGTTCCTTAGCCCTTTATTATCTAGCTACCCCCATCTCTCTAACTCCAGCTCTTCGCATTTCCCCATCCCCATAACAGAAACCATGATTATCTGAAAACTAACATTTTTAATAAGTGCCAAACAAAATGGCTTTTGGCTAGAGAGATGGCTAATGGCTTTTGGCTATTGAAAACATGTAACATTCTATTTAACTGCCTTTGTAAGCAGAAAACAGTATACTTAACATTTTTTTTTTAATGATTCTGGACCTTGTAATTCCCCAGGAACATCCTTCTCATTGATGATTCTTTTTTTCTTAAGACATATAAATAATTTAGGAAATTGCATTAAATAGGTATTGAGTTCTTAATATTAAAGTCTTTCTGAGCTTTTAAAAAATGTTTCCCATCTCAAAATTCTAAACATTTTGATTAAGAGTTTAATTAGGTTAGGATATAGCTAATTAACATTTTACTACTATAATATAATTTTCCCATGTAACTGGTCAATAAATTCCAAGTTTCCTGGGGAGATACTTTGTAAACACACTATTAGAAGGGACTAACATTTAATGAAGAACTAGTATTTGGAATTATACTAAGCGCCTTACATTATTTACCTCCGCTGATCCTCATAACAACTATAGTAAGTATATTCTATTCCCATTTAACAACAAAAAAAAACTCTTTGCCAATTCAGATACCTTAAGAAATCAACTCAAAATCCAAAGCTAGTACTAACAGAATATAAACACATAACCACCTGACTTTAAAGTAGAAGTGAAAAATAAAAAATAAAAAATAAAAAAATAAAGTAGAAGTGAAAAGACTGTTTCCATTATGGCAGATGGAGCCTAGATTTGAATACCATCTCTGATGCTAACTAGCTATGTGATCTTGGACAAGGCACTTAATTTTTCTGAACCTCAGTTTTTTATCTGTTAAATGGAGGTAATGATAGTACCCACCTTGTAAATAAGTACTCAGTAAATGGTAGCTATTACTGTCCAGTACTGTCTTGTTTGATACAAACATTACTCCCCAAAAGTGCAATATGCTTAAGAATAGTTCTAGCAACCATAATTGGTATTTGGTGATATTTAAAGTTTTGAAATGTTTACCACAATACCTACATCAACTTAATTTCACCATAAGCATGATGGCTATGAGGACAGCCTATTACCTGAGGCTCCATGACAGATTCACTAAGAATGGCCTGTGTGACAGGGTCTTGATTTACCACAATGGGACCCTGAGAGGAATCAGGAGCAATAGTTACATTTGGAAACCCTGCAGAAGGAAAAGAAATCATGATGATTTTACTTCATTTAAATTGACCTCACAGGCACTACACACTGCCATAGGTTTGTATTATCACATGAAAAATAATAATAGCAGGTCACACCTACATAATGCTTACTGTATTCCAGGCACTGTTCTAAATGCTCTTACATATATTAAGTCATTTTACCCTCAGAAAATCTGATGAGGTTTTGCTATTATTATTTCATAGATCAGCAAACTGAAACTCAGAGACTTGAAGCAAATGGGCCAGAATCACACTAACAAATGGTTAAGCCAGAATTCAAACCTTAACTAAAAACTAATGATCTGTTTTCAGGGATTAAAGTAAACAATGGATTATATACACATTAAAAAGAATAATTCTATGTACTTGACAAGAGGCAAAGTCTCTGTGAAAGAGAGAGATTGAAGTAGCTTTGGCCTTCAAATTAAGCTTCACTCAAGTTATATATAAATACAGATACTTTATATGGTAATATTAATAAACTGGAAATTAAGTCATATTTTAAATGACAAAATCTTACACATTGCACCACAAGATATACTAGTAAGTAATAACAATTCATCTTTGCTTAGCTTAGTAATTTGCAATAGTTAATATTCTTGGTGAAAAGCAAAGAAATCATAATGAATCTGTACCTAACAACACCTGTATGCTATCCACTCTAGATTACTCACGCCGTAAGAAATGTGATGCCCGAAAAAAAGATTTAAATTTCTTGCAAATAGCCAGTTGTGGGCTATGGTTAATAAGAAAAAGAAGTTTTTGTTTGATTTAAATACTGTACCTGTGCGCCTACGGGGAAAATCAACAAACAGATCTTTTGCTTCAGCAATCAAATGATCAGATTTTTCCAAAACATCCTGCATCTGGTATTGATCAGAAAGAATCTGGACATGTGTTAATAATAAATATTATTATTCATGAAAAAATCCATATATACTCTGAAATCACAAAGTAGAAGTCCATACATAGGCACACAGAATAAAAATAACGATAGGCCACTATCTTCCTAAAATCCTTCAGTGGCAATATCCTTAAGTACCAGTAGATGGGGCTATTACAATAATTAGTAGATTTCATACGCTTCCCTACAATCCAAGTATGAAATCTATTATTAAACTGTGACCCAGCATACGCAAATGTAAATGTAAATGTATAACAAAATAAGAGCTTACTTAACCTAACTTTTTGAGAGCCACTCTGATATTTTCTTTTAGTTCCTATTCTATTTTTTAAAATAATGGCTACAACACACTAACTCAATTTCACAAGCCACTAAAGAGTTGTGATCCAGTTTGAAAAACACTGATTAAAGATATAAATCTCCAAGCCATAAACTCAGAGGTGTTTCAACCTTTAAAAGTGATTTCACACACACACAAAAAAAAGTGATTTCATAATCCACTAATGGATCATGATCAACAACTTAAGAGAATATGAAGTAAGAGGAGTTTTGGGGCCTCAAACAAATGTGATGCTTGTCTGTTTACAAACAAGTTGGATTTTTATCCTAGAGGGAGGAGTGAGAACTCAAAAAATACCATTACAGTAGTGCCTCTGAGTAAGCACTTTTCAACTTAGAATTCAACATTCATAATTACAAGCAAGGAGACGCAGGCAAGTCAACTCTAGCCACCACCACCAGATGGCATTCTTAAATTGAAAGAAGTTTACAAAATTGGAAACTGCCCAGTTTCCAACATGGATTCAAAACAATAAAGCATCTGGCAACAAATGCTCTTACCAGAATCTCTAGCCCATGGAAACAAGTATATAATATGACCTCAGTTATTATTTCAGGACACTGAGAAAAATAACAAGAGTCACATTCTGACTTCTTCCCTTTCTTCTGCTGTGGCCAATCAGGTTGGCTGGCTTAGTTGGTGAGAATCAAGTCTTGAATGTGTTCCTTCCACAAAGAGTAAGCTTTGGAATGATATAAGGCAAAGAGCACATTCGGAGCCAGAAGACTGGAATCCTAGGCCCAGTCAAGGGATACTAAGCAAAATCCAACCATCTTAATTTAGGTTTCTAATATGTAAATGAGGATACCACACCTTCCCCAACCTCAAAGAGGTGTTATAAGGATGTGGACACAATGAAAACCATTCTAGGGATATTTAAAATGTTGTTACAACTTAAATTATAGTATCCCACGAACCAAATTTCTATCCCTGGTTAGCGATCTTCCAAGTACATGCAATTAAAGTTTATGCAAGAGAGTAAGAGTAAATGGAACATTATAATCTATCATTTAAACTAGAAAAATTACACACAGGGTATTTCCTAATAGCAGTTTTGAGTTTACTATTAAAAAAAAAAATCACTGACCTTCCATCAAAATAAAGAGATAAAACTGACAGAAGCAGACTGCAGAGGAGTAATTTTATTATATCAAGACCTAATATCAATTACAATGAGGTCTCCAGGAAATCCACTGCCCTGTTGCACTTTGCCAGTCTCTGCCCAGCCCTCTTAAGGCAAATGGGTTGAGAGACCACAGATCAGTGTATTGGCTTTCTTTTGCACTCTCTAGATTTATTTATCACTCCTCTCTGATAAACCTCACCCTCTTGATAGGTAAACCAATCTCTGCAAGCCCACCTGTATACATTATTTCTCCGGATGGGTTCATGGAGTGCAAAGTCAAACTTATGAATACTGGTACACATCTTGAATTTGCAAAGGATCGGCCAAAGTCTCTTCAAAAACATTATGAAAAACTTTTTATCCTAGCACTTTTATTCTCTGGTAATAAAAACCAGATAGAAATAGGAAATTACAGAGAAACTTGGGAAGTTATTATACTTTCAGAATTTATAAAATCTTAACCAAATTTTCCCTCTCTCTGATTGAATTTGGACCCTCATTTGCCTGATTCCCATGACACAAACACATCACACAGCAAATGATTATGCCAGCCAAAGAGCTTTTCTCTTAACTTTGTTCGCCTAGGAGTCCAGCTCTTGGGGATGGACTGGTAATAATAATACCACCTAAGTGAATATGCCCAAGGAGGCTTCTTCATTCAATCCCATCATATCCCTTAATAGAGACATTACAGATTTAGTAACACTGAAATAATAGATGCACATATCTTTGACACAGCAGTTCCACTTTTAAGAATTTATCCTACAAATATAGTTTTACATGTACTTAAAAACATATACAAGGATATTCGTTGTATTATTTACGGTGACAAGGCCAGTAACAATCTGTGGGTGACAGATCTGCTACCAATCTCCTTTCTTTTCATTTTCCTTTTAACAGAAGAATTCCCAAGTAAGAGCCAAGTTCCTAGCTAGATTTCCTAACCATCATTCTAGGAAGAACGGTCATGTGATGAATTTCTGGACAGTGGGGATATAAGCCAGAATTTCTGGGTGATATGTAAAAAGAGTAGCATGTTTTCTCTTTCCCTGTTCATGCTGGCTGGAATACAGCCGTAGGAAGCTGGAATAGCCATTCTCTACTCAGAGATAGAAGCACTGGAATAAAAGACCCCAGAGACTGTACCAACCACCATTTACCACTGAACGGTTTCATAGAGAGAAATAGATTCCTATTTTGTTTAAACCACTATATCTTGGGGTCTTCTTTTTTTCCTGAGGCCTAAACTATACTCCAATACACTTCCTAAATTGGTACAAATAAAGCGCTGGAAAAATAAATTGTGGTACATCTGTATATTACCTGGCCATTAAAAAGAAAAGGTAGATTTCTAAATACTGACATGGGATAACCTCCAAAATATATTGTTAATGGAAATACTTGCTCTTACTAACAGCAGAGGGTCTCAACCCAGGCAATGAATTAAAAGTACATAAAAACTGTCTGAAAAGTACCTAAGTGGGGCCACATCACAGAATAAATCAGAATATCTGAGTATAGGTATTTTTGAGTCCAGATATGGTGATTTTTTTTAAATGGACAATCTCAACACTGACTGAGCTAATGTGCCGACTCCAGAGCTTGAGGAATGGCACTGGTGGGAAGGCAGAGAGACTTCATTCATCCTCTCTCACCACCCTCCTTCAATCCCTAATTCTACCGCATCCATTCTCATATAAGCAATTCAGGACATGAGCAGGAGCCACTAGAGAAGGGAAACAAAAGCCTAGAGCCACCTCAAAGGGGCTGCCTTTTTTCCTAGTCACTGAGAATTATTACCTAATATTCAAATACGCATACCTTGTCCAAGATTACCAAAAGATACTTATCTGTAAAGAACCATAGTCTTTCAACCCCCCGGTCTTTTTACAAGTTCATGTAAACATTTATTCGGGAGATAGAATTCTTCCTGATGATATATAAGATTAGGACTTTTACATCTCACTAACAAGACTAATGAATTCCTCAAAGACAGAGTAATCTACAGCTGCAGTTAAAGATCACCCAGACAGGTGCCATAAGCTGCAATAATGAACAAGAAGCAACACTACAAAGTATATTTCCTTCACAATGATTTCATCCATAAAAGGTTTTTGCTGTAGTTTCCTCTTATTTGCCATAGTATTTATTTCTATATATCTGATAACTTAACCAAATACCCTACATCTGGCAAAAGGTTAAGGTAAAGACAAGGGGCTTACTAACTAATTTGTTGGACAAGTACATTTTTTTTTTTTTGCAGAGTAATCAATCTAATAGCACTGTGTGTGTGAACTGAGAAAAATAATTACAGCAGTTTATATATGTATATAAGACACTAATTATGTGCCAAGGACTATATTCGTCAGTTAGTATGTATCACTGAAATCTCATAACAATACAATCAGGCAAGTTTCATAAAACAGTAACTTGCAGAGCAGGAATTCAAACCTCCAAACTAGACTTTAATCATCACTCTGCTCCTTTTTTCAGAGTCCATGTGTAGATCCATCATATAAGGACGCAGTCATAATACTAGAGTCTCTCCAATGTGAATCAAACTTGGGGGAAAAGAGAGAAAACTATTTTCTTCTCTAACTCTAAAGAAAATGCAGTTTAGCATACCTCCTTCATGATTGACAATCTCCTTCTCTCAAGATTAGAAACTTCTGGTTTCTGCTTCTTCCATTTTCTCCTCAAAGCTTTTTCTTGGAGTTCCCAGTGTACTAATGCTCTGTTCTTTGATTTGTGTATTTCATGACGACGTATCTGTACAAAAGAAAAAATATAAAAGAATGTTTCAGGAACAAAGAAGTTGCCTATTCAGATGGTGGGACCACCTAATTTAGTTCATCTTTTAAAAATTTCTTTCTGGTCCAAATGTGTATATTCATACATATTCATGACCAAAATTTTCAATCTTCTAAATTTTCAAAGTGGTAAAAAAAAAAAAAGAATTATCCTAGAACTAGTAAACCTAGCAAAAAGACAAAATGAAAAAATATTAATTTCTACTTCCTTTGTACAAGACTATCCAATAAAATGTTATTTTCCAAACTACAGACCAGGATTCATTTAATGAACAGTAAAATCAATCAGTGGGTCAAACGAACATTTTTAAAATAAAAAAGAATATAGAATAGAAAATGTTAAGAGTAAATCATATATAAGGAAGTTAAGAATTATTCTGTTAAACTTTTCATTTACACATGTGTGTACATGTACAATTACATACACACACACACACACACACATATATAAATACACCAACACATACATACTGAATACAAGGTAAAAAAGGCACAAAGCTCACTAACCCATCTGTGGCAAAAACACACCCATTTCATAGTACTCACATCACTACCAAAAACTAACAATGCAATATTTTTATAGCCCTGCAATGGCTACATTTGGAAGTGGGTCACTGGAAATGTGTAACTCCAGAAAAGTGGAATTCCTGAAGGAGAAATAAGAGCCATAGTTTAAGAGCAGAGGAGAGAGGAGTTCACTGAGGTGGCTAAGGAATAGGAGCAGATACTGGCTTTACAAGCATGCTAGTATTCAGAACAATGAACATGAACAAAGCCTATATGGCATCTGATAAACTATACTGCTGCGTTTTTACCATGCAAATATGAAATCAGTCCATTAAGAGACCAACAACCAAATACTGTGTAAGGATTCTGAACACAAAAAACAAATGAAGATGATATTTTTGAGATAACTGGGGTAGTATGAATATAGACTGGGAATTAGGCAATATCAAAAAATTATTGTTACTTTTATTAGGTATGATAATGGCATCGTGGTTACATAAGAAAATGTATTATTTAAAACGCAAACTGAATATGTTGGCACAAAATGCCATGTTATCTGGGATTTGCTTTAAAATGCAACAGTGAAGGAAGGAAAAGTTATGAAAAATGAAGCAACTATGGCAAAATTTATTAACTATTATATCTGGGTGAACAGTACATGGGAGATCTTTATACTATTGCCCCCATTTCCATGTAAATTTGAAACTTCTCATAATAAAAAAAATTTAAATCAATAGGGCATCATTATTAACCTCAAAATCTACCAGGATTAAGATTCCTAGGTCCACAAAGACATACAAGAGATAGATAGCCCTTATCCCTCAAAAGCATTAAAAATCTGCCCAGGGAGATTGGGCACATACAGTTGACCCTTTGCTGACACAAATTTGAACTGCACAGATCCACTTATACATGCATTTTTTTCAGTAACTATAGTATAGTACTATAAGTGTATTTTTCTTCCTTACGATTTTAATAACATTTTCTTTTCTCTAGCTTACTTTATTGTAAGAATGCAGTATATAATACATATAACACACAACTACTTATGTTATTGGTAAGGCTTCCTGTCAATGGTAGGCTATTAGTAGTTAAGCTGTGGGGAAGTCAAAACTTATATGCAGATTTCTGACTATGCAGGAGGTTGGCACCCCTAACCCCCACATTGTTCAAGGGCCAAATGTACAAATAAAGATAAATGAAATGCATTAGACAGCACATACGCTATGCCTCATATACCTAGCAAGTACGACAACAGTTTAGAGGAGATACTAATTGTTGGGCAGCTTCAGAAAACTTCAAACTTAATACAAAACTATAAAAATCAAGACATTGTTGTGTCGTACAAGGATAGACATGTAGATCAGTGGTATAAAACTGAGAGCCCAAACTAAACCTTTATGTTCACAGACAATTGATTTTCAGCAAGGGTATCAAGGTAATTCAATGAAGAAAGCATAGTCTTTTTAACAAATGGTACATGGTTATCCATTTAGAGAAGAACGAAGTTGGACCCCATCTCATACTATACACAAAAATTAATTCAAAATGGATCAAAGACCTAAACATAAGAGCTAAAACTATGAAACTCTTAGAAGAAACATAGTAAATCTTTGTAAACCTTGGGTTAAACAATGGTCTCTTAGATATGATACTAAAAACACAGTTGACAAAAGAATAGACTGGAGTTATCAAAATTAAAAATTTGGGGGGCACATGGGTGGCTCAGTGGTAGAGCATCTGCCTTTGGCTCAGGTCATCATCCCGGGGTCCTGGGATCAACTCCTGCATCAGGCTTCCCCACAGAGAGTCTGCTTCTCCCTCTGCCTGTGTTTCTGCCTCTCTATGAATAAATAAATAAAATCTTTTAAAAAATTTTTTTAAATTTTTGTGCTTCAAAAGATATCATCAAGAAAATGAAAAGACAATCAACAGAATAGGAGAAAATATTGACAAATCATATATATGATAAGGAACTTGGATCCAGATTATGCAAAGAACTCTTATAACTCTACAATAAAAACACAAGTAGGGCAGCCCAGGTGGCTCAGTGGTTAAGTGCTGCCTTCAGCCCTGGGCCTGATCCTGGAGACCCAGGATCGAGTCCCATATCGGGCTGCCTGCATGGAGCCTGCTTCTCTGCCTGTGTCTCTGCCTCTCTCTGTGTGTGTGTGTGTGTGTGTGTGTGTGTGTGTGTCTCACATAAATAAATAAAATCTTTTAAAAAATAAATAAAATAAAATAAATAAAATAAAATAAAATAAAATAAAATAAAATAAAATAAAAAAAACACAAGTAATCAATTTTTATCTGGCTAAGGAAACTTTTTTTTTTTTTAATTTTCCATTTATTCACGATGAGAGAGAGAGGCAGAGACACAGCCAGAGGGAGAAGCAGGCTCCATGCCGGGAGCCTGACACGGGACTCAATCCCGGGACTCCAGGATTGCGCCCTGGGCCGAAGGCAGGCGCCAAACCGCTGAGCCACCCAGGGATCCCCTGGCTAAGAAATCTGAATAGACATTTCTCCAAACAAGATAATACAAATGGCCAATAAGCACACAAAAGGATGTTTAACATCATTAGTCACTAGGGAAAATAAAAAACACGAGATTCCACTTTACACTCACTAGGAAAACTAAAACAAAAAAATATGGTACTAACATGTGGCAAGGGATATGGAAAAATTGGAACCCTCATGCCTGCTGGTAAGAATGTAAATAGTGCAGCCACTTTGAAAAACAGTTTGGCAGCTCCTCAGAAAGATAACGGTAGAGATACCACATGAGCCAGCAATTCTACTCCCAGGTACACAACAAGAGAACTGAGAACCTATGTTCACACGAAACTTGTATACGAATGTTCATAGCAGCCTCATTCATGATAGTCAAAAAGTGAAAATAATCCAATGTCCAGCAAAAGACAAATGGAAAAACAAAAAATATGGTATATCCTTACAATCAATGTAACAGTACTAGCAATAATAGGGATGAAGTAAAAAAAAGTAAAAAAAAAAAAAAAAATAGGGATGAAGTATTGACATATGCTACAACACAGATGAGCCTTGAAGACATTATGCTAGACACAAAAAGACACACACTGTATCCCATTTACGTGAGATGTCCAGAACAGGCACATATAGCATATAAAGCAGATTAGGTGTTGCCAGGCATTGGAAGGAATGAGGGCCTAAGGAGTGATTGTCAATGTGTACAGAGTTTCTTTCAGGGAGTGATGAAAATGTTTTAAATTAGAAAACTATGATGGTGACATAACCCTATGAATATACTGAAGACCAATGGCTCATACACCTTAAAAGGGTGGATTTTATAGTATGTGAATTGTATTTCAATAAAGCTGCTTTTTAAAAAAATCTATAGCAGAAACCTTTTTAAAAGTAAGACTAAACTAGGATAAGGAAGCAAAGTAAGATTTGGACAGGTAGACAAGAAGGTAGAGAAACTGTTCTGAGTAAAGAAAATTGCATGAATTGAGGCCCAATGTGGAAATACACATAGCATATTCAAGGAATAAATTAGTTACATTAGACTAAAGTATGATTGCAGATGGACATATCAATAAATAAGTTTAGAGATTTACATAGATAGCAAAAGACATACAGGGCAATACTAGAAGAGAGAGATTTGAACTATAAACCAAGTCCATCTAATAAAATTGTAATATATGCTAAGTGACATTCCTAGGTAAAATCAGGAAGTCCAGGTGATATGCTTTTCAATTTTATATAGACAGAAGCAAGATTAAATATAACTAACCAACTTCCAGGAAGCACCCCTGGTTTCTATTCTGAAGGTCAGGAACCAAATATCAAATGAAACATTGAATATATCTTTTGATATTAAACTTACCAGATCTTCAGGAGTTGCCCGATGAACTGTTAGATCATTCACAGTATTCTGCAAAATAGAGCAACATTCTTTTAAAAAAAAAAAAAAAACTTATAAAATGTTAGTATATACCAGATTTTTTTTAAAAAATAGGATTTCAATATTTATTCACTTTCTTTGGGTAATTTTCTCACAGGAAAAAAATTTCTTTAAACTAGGTGAAAAAATTTTTAAATCAATTTTAGTTTATGTTTGATAAACTAAAATAAACTAATAATATATGATAAATAAATATATGATAAAATAACTAATAATATATGATAAATAAAATGATAAACTCATTTTCCTTTTTTTTTAAGAGGTCTTTTTTTAATTTTTTAATTTTTTTTTAAAGTAATCTCTATGGCTCAAACTCATAACTCTAAGATCAAGAGTTACATGCTCTACTGACTGAGCCAGCAGCAAGGAGCCTCTCAAAAGCCTTCTTTTATTAGTTTAAGCCTTGTGTCCTTTTTTTCTCCTACATGCCAGATGGGCCTCAGTTAAAGGATTATGTACTTAACTAAAGCATGCTAACCTCTAAGAAACCTTTCTTTGAAAAGTTAAGGGATTTGTCCAATCATCACATTTTAGCAAGATAAAATTGCTATTTTAAACTGAAATGAAATTATTTCTATTTTTTACAATATATAAAAGAAATGTGTTTATTTAAATTAAAATAAAATGCTAGTTTTATTATTCAAACTTCTTACCATATTTTTTCACTCAGAGAGTTATGTCATACCTATGAATTTACACTGTTCATTTATCTGTGGTTAGGTATAGTACAAAATGGATTTTAATGGCTGAAAAGATTCAAAGTCCTGGGACCAAAAAGACTTCCTGTCCAGGAACTAGTATTCTCAATTTAAATATTAATATGGATTATTTTTAGTTGTCTTATTAAAAAATAACAGGCTATTTTTAGGTGTCTTACAGAAAATAAGCACTAAATTTACCAAGCAGGTATATATTATGTTAAAACAAGGAATAAAACAGGGTAGTATATAATTCAAAATGAGTAAGTTTAACTAAAATTGTAGTTTTCAAGCTGCATTCCAGGGAATGAGGCACCTCTAAAGAGTCCTAAAATATAAAACTGTGATTACTTTAGGGAGGTTAAGTTTGTGTGCATGCGAACAACTTAAGCATAGAATGTTTCATACATAATAAGGGATAAAGTTTGAGGGCACTGTATAATTTCATCAAATGTGAAAACAGTCACTTCGTAAAAAGGCACTAAACCAACATGGCAGGTCTTCCACACCCCACAACTCCATTATTACTCTGGTCCATGTAAATAGCATCCCTTAGAATTGTGCAATGCGTAGTCTACACAGCTTGGAGTAGCTGCCCTACAATTCGGCTCTCTCCAAAATGACTTCAGCCATTTTGTTATACAGATTTGGTAAGGCAGGAAATAAAACAAGTTAGGGTTCTTCTAATGGAAAGACAGGGAACTGGGTCTGGTGATAAAACTTCTGATTTATTCAAAGACTAAACTTTTTGGCCATAGTTTATATTTAGTTCAGAGGTTTTCTACACTAAAACTGTTATTCCTTTCATATTAACCTAGAAAACCACAATATATAACCATAAGATCTTAAGAATCATTTTTAATAATCATAATAAAATTCAGGCATATAAGGGATATGCTTAGACTTAGTTGTCTTGGAAGAAAATATAATTTCATTAATGTAACTATTGCTTAAAACTATTTTCTTGAAATTACTTTTAAATATCATTTACAAGCCATTTCAAAGAACATCTCACTATTTTTATCAAAATAGTATTATTCAGTTTGCTCTCTCCTCCTTCATGTACCATTTACTCCAAATGACTTAAAACTACCTCCAAGGTCAGTCTACAAAAAATAGATTTTTCCAGCACTGGAGATAATAAAAAACAAATGAGGGAAATGTAATTTCAATGGTGGGTTTCCATTAAGTTTTGAGCAAGAGCATATCAGAATAAATACGAAACGTCCCACAGTAACCACTCTGAAGTGGACAACTTTTAAGTTATCACATGCAGTTTTTTTCCTTTTAATAAGTTTCATGGCCTTGGAATCACACCCTTATAATCTTTTATAGCTAGGGGCATCTGGGTAGCTAAGCAGCTAAGCATCTGCCTTCAGCAGGTCATGATCCCAGGGTCCCCCTGAGCCACTTCAAAAAGGCTCTCAGTTTGCTCAGAAGTTTCCAAGTCCAAAAGAAACTCTGAGATCCAAAGTAGTCCCTGACTAGTTGCTCTCCACAACAGAAAGTAAAGGCACCTAAAGTGTCAATGGTTCAAACTAAAGTACCAAGCTGTGAAAGATAAAGATACCCTTGATAATACCAAACAGTAATCAGAATGGGAGCCAGGAATCATATGTCCCAGGTACTTGAGACTTGTCTTCTAAAGAGAACCTTTGTACTGAAACTGACCAGCTTCTGGAGGTGAAAAAGAAATAATTCAAGGAATAAGAGAGCAAGAATTACCCACTTTTCAGCCACAAATGCCACTCACATGATTATGATAGCACTGGTTGCTATAGGCAAATCTTAAGAAAGTACAAAAAAATTCAGATTTCAGTGACACAGTTTAGCTACAGTTGCCTTAAAACAGTGAGTTCTCAAAGTGGAGGAGGCAGTACTTTTTAAAAACATACTTCCCACCTTCTTAAGATTTCCTCTTCAAAGGAGATATAAGTTACAACCTTGACATGTGGATTCTAAAAGATCCCTACAGGATTCTGCTCTTCCCTCCAAGACCTGGGATATAACATGCCCAGAAACCCATTCCACCCTATTAACATTCAGAGCCCTGGATTGAGTGACTAGGGCCATGTCATCACATCTATCCCTCCAGAGCAATCTTACAGGTTTATTATCCCATCTAGACTTACATCCCATTCTTGCTTCAGTGACGTTTTCTTCTTCCTTACTTTCAGCACTTTCCTTCCTCCTCCCCGGGGACCATAACGGTTCACTCTGACAAGTGACATCTAGAAGCAATAATCATTATCAAATTTTTAAGATACAAGAAAAAGTGGTAATTACATCTCACTGGATAAGGACAAAGACATCTAGGAAAATAAACTTTCAAGGGTCAGAAGAAAAATGTAAGCATAATGAAAGGAACAGTCTACCAAAATACTTGGTTCTCTCCCTTCACAATTAAAAAGCTGTACTGATAACTATGATAAAACAGGTTCTAAGTTAATAACTTATGTATATTTGCTTAATAAAGAACTCCAGGAATACAAATTATGATATAAAGCACGGAGCTACGACCACGGGCATAAACTTTGTCATTAGTTACAAACTTCATAATTAACAGAGAAAATGTCAGTCATAGGCTAACAATCTGAAAACAAAAGGAAAAAGGCAAAGAGAGCTATAGCTTTTTGTTAAGCATCCTAGCACTTAAAATCACTAGCTTACTTGCCTAAGATAAAAATTGCTAAATTTTAGAGAACAAATGAGTTACAATATTTCTAGTATATTTCCACATAATACTAAATAGCGGTGATTACTGATACTAAACCAGCATTTGGAAATTGCCAATATTTGCTTGGCACTCTTAAAATAGCAATGCTATAGACACTGGACAAAATATTACACAAAATTAGAAAAAGGCTCATAGTCCCTGTACACTAGAATTTTACAATACATATATGTGACTTTTAACAAGCGACATATGTACATGACTCCCGTTCCAAAACTTCATTATACACCTAAATTTAATTACAGAACTTTGAAGCTGACCCCCTTATTCCAAATTATCCTGAAACAAAGACTGTAGTATTTTCCTTAAGTACATTTTTAAAAAATGATATGGTCTACTATAACAAAAAACATCTAAATGCAAGTATTTTCATGAGCTTCTCAGTTCTCTTCGCTTTGTTTTATCAATCACATTGACTCTTCAAACATGTTATCTATTTGCAGGGTTTACAATCCAGCAAAAGATAAGTCACATATGAGTCAGAGAATAACATTTAAGTCATATTATGAAGACAGTGTTGATGGTAATGAGGACAGTGGAGATGGTGATAATGACGGCAATAGCTAACACAAGTCAGGTATTGTTCTAAGTAAGCTCTTCCCACACAGTATTTCCTTTAATCCTAACAGTAATTCCAGTAAGCATTTACTATTTATTACTCATTTTACAGATGAGAAAGCTAAGGGATGAAGAAATAACCAACTGTGAAGGTCACAAAGTGGTAGAACCATAAATAGCATTTTAAAAGATAGGTAATAGAGGAGTGCCTATGGAATAGAGGTGGCTCAGTTGGATGGGCAACCAAATCTTTGTTTTGGCTCAGGTCGTGATCTCAGGGTCAGGGTCAAGAGATAGAGCCCATCAGGTTCCATGCTTAGCAGGGAGTCTACTTAAAGATTCTCTCCTGCCCCTCCCCGCGACTCATGTTTCCACACGAGTGCACTTTCTCAAATAAATAGAATATCTTAGTTAAAAATAAACAAATTTGGTGCCTGGGTGGCTCAGTCAGTAAAGCATCTGCCTTCAGCTCAGGTCACCATTTCGGGATTCTGGGACTGAATTCTGCATCTGGCTCCCTGCTCAGTGGGGAATCTGCTTCCCCCTCACCCTCTTTCTCTGCATCTGTCCTCTACTCATGCTCTCTCTTTCTCTCTCTCTCAAATAAATAAAATCTTTAAAAAAATAAAAATAAACAAATAAACAAAAGATATGGAAGAGAAAAACCTAAAAGTCCAAAACAAACCCCTACGTTTATAGTCAGTTTATTTTCAACAGAGGTGCCAACAAACAATTCAATAGGAAAAGAAGTCTTTTCAATAAGTCGTGCTGGGACAAGTGGAGATCTATATGAAAAAGAATGAATCAAGATCTCTACCTCACAACATATATAAAAATTAACTAAAAATAAATCAACTTCAAAATAAGAGCTAAAATTATTAAACTCCCAACAGAAAACATAAGTGTGAATCTTCATGAACCTTGGGTTAAGCAATGGTTTCTTAGATAGAACACTAAAAGAATAAGCAGACTCCATCAAAATTAAAACTTTTGTGCTTCAAAATTGTAATTATAATTGTAAAATGGAACTAATTAAAGACATAAATAGCCAAGAACCCCTACCTAGCACATACTAAGTTCTGCTTAGGATCAATGACTATGGTGTCAGTGACAACTATTAGTCCTTTCCCAAATGAGACAAAAAGGGGGTTAGAGAGATTAAGTATATTATATTGCTCAAAAGTCACACAAATAATAATGGGCAGCTGGCAAGTGACATTCAAAATCAGGTCTGAAAAAAAAAAAGAAAAAAAAACAGGTCTGACTACATATAATGCACTTCCTAGAAAATGGCACTAACACTGAGTCATCTCTGTTGGTTATAGATTTTCCAAATTTTCTACAATGAACCCATATTACTCTTAAAATAATTCCAGTTATATTATTTAAAATACTATACTTATTCAGAGGCTGAAATTCTCCCAGCCTCAATTCTAAAAATCCCACCATGAATCTGAAGTATGCAAAAGTTTATGAATAATCAAAAAAGCCCATATACTTCTTTCTTCCACTATTGAGGCCCTAGATATAGGTGAGGCCCTCAATATAACAGTATCTGAAATTTAGGAAAGCAGTATCTTTTAAATCATAGCTATTTGTATGCTAATGTATCCAAACAGAACTTTTCTTGAGCAAAGAGATATAGAAATTAATAGAAACAATTGAACAGGGGCAGCTGGGTGGCTCAGTAGGTTGAGTCTCTGCCTTCAGCTCAGGCTGTGATTCCAAGAGCCTGGGACTGAGCCCTGTTGGGCTTCCCGCTCTGAGGGAGCCTGCTTCTCCCTCTCCCTCTGCTTCTCCCCTCTGCTCCTGCTCTCTCTCTCTCTCCTCTCTCTCTCAAATAAATAAAACCTTTTTTAAAAAAAAAACTAACAAACATTGAACAAATGCCTGAGCATTATTTATGGGAATGTGAAGTTGTCAATTTTAGCATAAGAAAATGTTATGTCCAAATAAAACCATATTCACTGAAAAAAAAAGTGATGAAACGAATGTATATTCTATGGTCTGATTGTGTCCTTCCAAAATTCATGTTAATCCTAATCCTCAAAGGTGATGGTATTAGGTGGTGAGTGAGGCCTTTGGGAGGCAGTGCCCTCGTGAATGGGGCTAGTACTGTCATCAAAGAGGCTCCAGAGAGATCCCTAATCCCTTTCACCATCTGAGGACACAGCAAGGTGCTGGCTGTGAACCGGGAAGAGGACCCTTACTGGAACATGACCATGCTGGAGCCTTGATCCTGGACTTCACAACCGCCAGAACTAGGAGAAAAAAATTTCTCATTTTTGAGCTACTTAGTCTCTGGTATTTTGATATGGAAATCTGAATGGACTAATAAGACAGGACACACCAGTTCTCTCTTTTTTTTTTTTTAACTTCAATTTAGCCTAGCAAAGCTGGCTGTGATTACCCACAATGAAAATGCCATCATATAATCCCTTACCCTTGAGTTTGGATAGGATCCATGGACTTGTTTGGGTTTTCTTCCCCCCGTGATTTGTTTTATTCAACAACACGAGGCAAACGTGAGGAGATGTCACTCCTGTTTTCACAATATGTTTTACGCGTCTCTGTCTTACGAGAGTAGAATGAGAGTCTTTCCTGCTGGCCCTGAAGAAGCCAATCGCCACTTATGACTGCTCATGAAAAGGGCCATAATGCTGGGAATTCAGATGACTGTGGGCAGCCCACAGCAGAAAGTCAGTAAAAAGACCCGTCGGCATACAGCCATAAGCGGCAATGAATTCTCCCAACAACCAAAGGGACGTGAGCCTGGAAGCGGACTTTTCCTGAGCTGGGTTCTAGATGAGAACGCAGACCACCAACACCTTAATCATGCCTCTGTGAGACCCTAAGCACACAACCCCACTAAACCATGTCCAAATTCCTGCCTCACAGAAACCATGAGGTAATAAAGGAGTACTGTTTTAAGCCACCAGGTTTGTGGTGTTTTGTTACACAGCGTAGGTGACTAATACAGTGGCCAACTCTAAATTCCAGCCTGCGTGTGCTAGGATCACAAAGGGAGAACTACGCTGCTATCCCACCCGTGGATTCCCCTTCACCAGCTAACTTCTGTAACGTGGGAACCACCCTTGCCCTGAAGTGTCCTCTTGAACAGCACCAATACAAGCGGTCATATCTTTTCTTAACCCAGGATGAGACCTCGTAGTCCGACAAAGATATTTTGACCTATTTACAGAAATCAGGTATCATCAGGGAGCTACAGCTTACATACCGATGTGTGAGGCTACAGAGATATTCTCATAGTACTAAGGAGTACAAAATCGGCACAGCCCAGAAAATCTAGGCCTGTTTGGAGAAAATCCAAAATATTAATAGCTTCCCAACAGATGAAACTGTTGGCGACTTCTTACCTCTAAAGCCCTTTCCAACTCTATAGACTCCCACTGCTGGAGGCCCTCCTCTCCCTTGGCTTCCACGACATTCTCCCGGCTTCTCTCCTATTCATCTCTCCCTTTCTTTGCAGGCTCTGTTGGTCCCTCTTTAGATACCACATAATCAAAAAGCTCCACAGTCCTATCCCAATCCTTTATCTTTCCATTGGACACTCTCTCTCTTCATTCAGTAATTGCTGTTGAGAATCTCTCACCTGCTAGACTCTGGCCAGGCACTGGAGACCAAACAGTAGACAGGTCTAATACGGGGCCAGCTCTCAAGCGGCTTCCTTTCCAGATCACCTAGGGGGAGTTCACATCCTCCCTCTGTGATCTCGCTCCTTCCCTTGAACGAAAGCTACAAATGCCCTGGGCATATAAACACACTGTAGAAATGAGCCCCAAATCATCAAGGATTCACGTTTTCCCCCAACACCCCAAAATGCTCATTTCCAACTGCCTTCTGTATACATCTCCCAAACATCTCACTTACAGTGTAGTCAAAATACAACTTAATCATCCACGTCCCCTCCCTACCAACCTCTAGTCCTTACTACATAACCGGTAAGCTCAGCCGAACAAACAGAATGACCATCCTTCTGGTTGCTCCAGTTTGAAACCTTAGCATCACCTTCTGGTCCCTCTTGTCTCGTAGCCAATCAGATACCAGAATCTGTGCATTCTTTTCCTGGAATAACCCTCTCTCCTCTTTCCCCCCTCTCATCAAAACCAGCTAGACGTGGCGAAAAGGGGAAAACAATGTTCCTGGTGGGAGAAAAAGCATTTGCAAAGGGCTTGAAACGTTCAGTTGGACTACCAGAATTGAGAAGGTGAGAGTCTAGAAAGAGGATGCAAAGGGACAGAGAGGACAGAGAGGCCCCCTTAGAGAGGCCCTCTAAGCTACAGCAGTTGGAACACAATCCTAAAGCGACCCTCAGGAAGCCGCTGGAGGTCTCCAAATAAGGAGAATTACGGTGTGATTTAGCAAACCCTCTCTGGCTAGAGGGGAACAGGGCCTCCTTCCCTACATTGTCCCAGCAGTCAATCCTTTACCCGGATCTAAGGACAGAACAGCTCTCAGCCCCAGAGGACCGTGGCTCTCCCCCGCAGGGAGGAATCCAGGGCCCAGCCGCGGCCCTCGGGCCCTCTGCCCTCCTCGGGGGCCCGCCGGCCTCCCTCTCCAGCCTTCTCTGCTCTGTCCCCCGCCCGTGCAAGGGTCGCCTGCCCTTGTGGGTCCTGCCATCCTTTCTGCTCGGCGTGCAACACCCTTCCGCCTCGCACTCACCCCCAAGGCTCTCTCGGGCGGCCCCTCCCCGCGCCCCGGCCTCCCGCCAGTCTGCAGAGTCCCGGGAGGCTACGGGAGGCTCCCCGCCCCCCCCCCCCCCGGCCGGCAGCAGGTGCGCACTCAGGGCCGGGGGCGCCACACACCAGCCCGCGCACACACCCTCGCAGGACAGGCGCGGGGCGCTCTCCGGGGGAAGGAGCCCCCCCGGGGCCGGGGCCGGGGCCGGGGCCCGGGGAGACCAGGGGGGCACAGGCGCCAGGCCTCCGCCGCGCCGTCGCCACCTGCCTTGCCGTCGGCCGACCGCCGCCTCCGCCGCCACTAAACCACCTCCAGGCGCCAGAACCGGCCCGGCCCGCCACAGGTTCGCGCAGCCCGCCACTTCCGGGACGTTGCCTAGGCTACCCGAGCCCCGCCCCCTCCCCGGCCCGGATCCGGTGCGGCCAGTGCGCAGGCGCCGACTCGGGGCGTCCCGGGAACCCGGGGGCGGGGAGGCACCTGCGCGGCCGCCCTCCAGCCCTGGGCTCCCTGCGAGGCGCGAGGCTCGGGGCCGGGCCGCGCTGCGGGCGGTGGGCGTGAAGCGTTCGCCACTTTCTCGTGAATTCCCTAAAAGAAAGTTGTCGACAGGCTTCACATGTAATAGGCTTCACTTATGATATCTACTTGTTTTCGCCTTTATTGATTTTTTCACATATGATATTTACTTATTTTCACAACAGGCTTCACATATAATATTTACTTGGTTTCACCTTTTTTGATCTTTTTCTTTCACATATGACATTTACTTGTTTTCACAATAAGCTTCACATATAATATTTACTTGTTTTCGCCGTTTTTGATCTTTTTCTTTCACATATAACATTTACTTGTGTTCACAATAGGCTTCACATAAAATATTTACTTGTTTTCACTTTTACTGATCTTTTTTTTCACATATGACATTTACTTGTTTTCACAATAGGCTTCACTTATGATATCTACTTGTTTTCACCTTTATTGATCTTTTTTTTCACATATAATATTTACTTGTTTCCACAATAGGCTTCACATATAATATTTACTTGTTTTCGCCATTTTTGATCTTTTTTTCTCACCTATAATATTTACTTGTTTTCACAATAGGCTTCACATATAATATTTACTTGTTTTCACTTTTACTGATCTTTTTTTTCCACATATGACATTTACTTGTTTTCACAATAGGCTTCACATATAATATTTACTTGTTTTCGCCTTTTTTTTTCTTTTTCTTTCACATATAACATTTACTTGTTTTCACAATAGGCTTCACAAAAAACATTTACTTGTTTTCACCTTTCTTAATCTCCCCCCCCCCAAAAAAAATGTGTGTCACCGCCTACCAATGTGCCAATAGGTTATGCTAGATCCTGCGGGATCAAAAAAACAGGCAAGATCCTTGTCCTCAATAAGATTACTGTATAGTAGTAAACAGCCATCAACGACACAAATGTAAAATTAGGACTATGGCAAATGGGGATCCCTGGGTGGCGCAGCGGTTTGGCGCCTGCCTTTGGCCCAGGGCGCGATCCTGGAGACTCGGGATCGAATCCCACGTCGGGCTCCTGGTGCATGGAGCCTGCTTCTCCCTCTGCCTGTGTCTCTGCCCCCCCCCTCATTCTATGTGACTATCATAAATAAATAAAAATTTAAAAAAAAGGACTATGACAAATGCTAGAAGCTACTAGACACTAAAGTTATAGGAATGTTATAGGAATTACTCAGGAAAGCTGGAAAGTAGATGAGTCCGCTACCAGGGACGCATAAAACATTCCTGCGGAGGGAGCTACGCAGGCGAAGCTGCGGTGGCAAGAGCAAAGAACTGGAAGACGTTGAGCGTATCCGGAGATCGGAGAGCTTGGTGTAAGGGAAGCTGGCTGAAGAGGCTAGAGCCAGGACAGGAAGAGCTGTGTAGGCCTGTTAAGGACTTTTCAAAGCATTTTGTTTGGAAACGGAGTTAATTTGCTCCAATATGACAAGTTCCATTAGTCCCTATTTTTCAACGGTTAAGACTTATCCATACAGAGATCAGCAAACATAGTCAGCACCTTCTAGATGCAAAGAACTGCCTTCTAGGGCAGCCCAGGTGGCTCAGCGGTTTAGGGCCGCCTTCAGCCCAGGGCGTGATCCTGGAGACCCGGGATCGAGTTCCACATTGGGCTCCCTTCATGGAGACACTGCCTGTGTCTCTGTGCCTCTCTGTGTGTGTGTGTCTCTCATGAATAAATAAATAAAATCTTTTTTGGGGGGAGGGGGAAGAACTGCCTTCTAATAGTTTCCACTCTAATTGGGAACGTTTGATGTAGATACATTTGCTGGTCAATCAATATAACCGTTCCTTGCACACATACTCAACTCCCTACTCCTCTCTGAATTACTGTAATACTGGACAAACCCACAATTCTGGCCATAGCAAAACTAATTACTAAGTGCCTGCAACTTTGCAACTCAAACTGGAAGGAGAAAAATACCCAACCATCCTGACTTTAAATTCATGATCACTGAGTTTAAGTGTGCCCTTAAAGATGCCTGAAAACCATATTAAAGTTCCCCCTCCATTGATTTCTCCTATGCTTCTACAGGATAACTTTATACCTTCTTTCCTGTTCAATATATCTTCCTCTACCCTCAGTCTCAGCCAGTGATCTTGCTTCCTAATTCATTGACAACACTGAAGCAATCTGAAGAGAATTTCCATAAACTCCCATTGCTAATTCAATCATTCTATCGCATCTTTACCCACAAACCTGCCTTTGAGAAGTTTAACAAAACCTAAACACAAGAAAGATGAGCATTACATCAGTGTACATAATAATTAAATTGCTCAGAAACAGTGATTTAAAAAAATTAAAGCACTAAAAGAGAAACATTACAGAGAAACAAAAATAAGGATAACATTATATTTCTCATCAGAAACTTTGCAAGTGAGGAGACAGAATAGTTAAATATATTGAAAGAAAATGACTGTCAACTTAGAATTCTATATCTGTCAAAAGTAGCTTTTTAAAAATAAGGATAAAATAAAGATACCTTTACACGTAACTAATAGAATTTATCACCAGCAGATCCTCAGATCCTCACCAGGAGAAGTGTTGAAGTAAATATTTCAAGCAAAGGAAAACAATCCTTTGTATAATATTACTTGCAGGTAGACTGTAATAAGCTAAAGATGTATATCATAAACCCAAAAGCCATCACTAAAATAACTTATGCCTAAAAGAGGTATTTATAAAGAGTTTACAAAAGAAATATTAAAAATTACCTGACTAATCTAAAAGTAAGCACAAAAAGTACAAAAAAGGAAACAAAGAACAGGTGGGAGAAATAGAAAACAGATAGCAAAATAACAGGGTCATATCAATTATTACATTAAATGTAAATGGACTAAATACCCCTATTAAAAGGTAGAGATTGTCAAATTAGATTTTTTTATTGCTGCCTACTAGAAGAAATATACATTAAATATAAAAACTGTAGTCTTACGTACAAAGATAGAAAAAGACATGTTAACATTAGTCAAATGAAATTGGAATGGCCTAATCAGTATTAGAGGAATAAATTTTCAGAGTAAAAAATATTACAAGGGTTTTTAAAAAAGTCATTTCACGATGGCAAAGAGGACATTAAATCAAAAATATATAAAAATCCTAAGCAATCATTCACTAAATAAGTGCACTTCAAAATAAATGAAGCAAAAACTGACACGACTGCAATGTAAAATAAAAAGTCCACAATTATAGTCAGAAATCTCAATGCCATTCAGTGAATAATTTATAATACAACTAGGCAGAAAATCAGCTAGACCTTTAAACAAATTAATCCAGAAAATTACCTGTAAATTACCAATATCAGCAATGAGAGAGGTGAAATATTCAACAGACACTAAAAGAATGTATTTTCATTCATTCAACAACTGTATAGTAATAAATTTGATAGCACAGATAAAACAGACAAGTTTCCTAAAAGACATAAATTATCAAAGCTTTCTCAAGAAAAAAAATGATATTTCTCAAGAAAAAAGAAAAAAATGAATAGCTCTGTATCTATTACAGAATTTAAATTTCAGAAGGAAAAAACAAACAAAAGAAGCTTTCCACAAAGAAAAGTAGAGGCCTAGATGGCTTTACTGGTGAATTCTACCAAACATTTGGGGAAGAAATTTCACCTATTCTACACAAACTATTTCAAAAAAATTGAAAAGGAGGGAATATCTCCCAATTCCCTATGAGATCACTCTTACCCTGATAACTAAACCAGAGAGAGACATTACAAGAAAGAAAACAACACTACAGAATATCTCTAGTGAATGTAGGTGTAAAAATTCTTAGCAAAAAAAAAAATTTAAGATTCTTCTAACAAAGTAATTATGCTGAGCAAAAGAAGTCAAACAAAAAGAGAGCACATACTGTATGGATCCATTTACATAAGACTCTAGAAAATGAAAACTAATACAGTGACAGAAAACAGACCACTTGTTACTTGGGAGGAGAAAGGAAGCAGAGAAGAAGCAGGAGAGAGATACAAAAGAGGAAGGAAACTTTAGAGAGTAAGGGATATATAGATAATGGTTTCCCAGATATGTATGTATCTAACACAGGTGATATGTGTGCTTTAAATACGTGAAGTTCATTGTCAGTTACACTCAAAAAGCTGTTTATATAGATTTCTCTGGGTGGTCCATATATAAGCCAGATGTGCTCCCCAAATCATAAGATGTCCCACTTCTACTATTCTAATTCTGGCTTCCCATTCCAACTTCTAATCCATGTTTCTGAAGTCTTCCCTTTATTTCACTATAAATCTTTTTCACTCCCTTCCTGTCTTTGAGCCTCTACCAAATGCAAGTGATGGTGGCTGAAATCCTTCCTACATTAAGCTCCAAATAAACAGTCTGCTTATTCTCATATCACGAGACTCTGTTTCCACAACTGCTTCAATTTTTTAATGGCATTGGTTATTTTTAAT